AAAACATATTTCCACACAGAAACTTGTACACAAATGTTCAGAGCAGCACTATTCATAATAGACAAAAAGAGGAAACAAACCAAATGTTAATTGTACTACAAATGTTCTTCATACTGCCCCCCCCCATTTCCTTCCTAGCAGCCAGTTATAAGTGAGAACATGTGGTATTTATATTTTTTTGTCTGGCTTATTTCACATAACATAATTTTCTCCAGACTCATCCATGTTGCTGCAAATGGCAGAATTTCATCCTTTTTATGGCTGAGTAGTATTCCATTGTGTATATATACCACATTTTTTAATCCAGTCATCCATCACTGGACACTTAGGTTGGTTCCATATTTTGGTATTGTAAATAGAGCTGTGATGAACATGGGAGTGCAGGTAATCCTTCGACATGATGATTTCCATTCCTTTGGTTATATACCCAGTAGTGGGATTGCTGGATCGTTTGGTAGCTCTATCTGGCGAGGATGCGGTGAAAGGGGAACTTTTCTACACTGTTGAATTGTATCTTAATAAAGTAATTACAAAAAAATGAAGGTGAAATAAAGACATTTTCAGGGGGAAAATAAAAACAGAATTCATTGCCAGCAGATCTGCACTGTAAGAAGTTCTAAAAGGAGTTCTTTAGGCTGAAGATACAGATGGCAACTTATGTCTACAGAAATGAATGAAGAGCAGAAAAAATGTAAATATGTAGGAAAATAGTAAAAACACAAAGTTTTTTCTTGTTTCAATTTCTTTAAAAATATATGACCACTTAAAGAAAAAAGCATAACATTGTATTATTGGGTTTAAAACATACCTATTATATATCTGAACTCCCTGTTTGTAAAAAAAGAAATCTTATAAGGAAGAGTATTCTTCTTGTTAATAACATATCACAGAATAATATAAAATGTAATTACCGAAGTTAAATTAAAGTGGAAGATGCCATTATCTGTACTGTTTATGATTTCCAAGCTGGGAGCAAGTCCTCCTGATGTGAACACACTTAGCATTCTCTTTGAAGCAAGCTCATTTTCAGATTGGAAAAAACACTGGACTTTCTTTAGGAAAGAGAGAGAAAGAAACAAGAAATGAAAATTTAATGGAGAGAAGCATATTACATTAATTTAATACTAAGGAGAAATCTGTGAAAAGTAGATGTTGCTAAAAACTGTTCTCTTTAGTAGTTCCCATCTCTAGCTAGGAAAAAAAATATATCTATTTTTAAAAGTACACTTTCAGAACTCAGTAACCTATTATGCGAAAAGTAGATGTTGCTAAAAACTGTTCTCTTTAGTAGTTCCCATCTCTAGCTAGGAAAAAATATATATCTATTTTTAAAAGTACACTTTCAGAACACAGTAACCTATTATGATAGTGTCATAAAGGTTTTAATTCATCCTCAATATAATCTTTTCTGTCATAGAAATTGTTAGAAAGTTATTACACTTAATAATCATGGAATCAAAAGCACATGCTATCAAATGTAAAAATTCTGATTTTATTAAAATCGTTTTTCATGTCTAAATAAAAGAGGAAGCATATATATAAAGCAAAGCTCATTTTACTGCATTTTTATTGAATATTTCCAAGTTTTGAGAAGGTATGTGAAAATGTTGCTATCACAAATGGTGATATTTTATTGAAAACCAGCATGAGAAAGATACCCGATTAGTTTATCCCGATTAGTTCTCCTAGTAGTTAAGATCACTTTGTGCAAGCTCCCTCTCTGAGTTTCAGTCTCCCTATCTTAAAAATGGTGAAACACATTCATTCCAAAAATAACTACTGAGCCTTTGCTGTGAACCAGGCAATGTTATAGGTGCTGTGGATACAGAAGTGAACAAAACAGACAAAAATCTCTGTCCTTGTGGAATTTACATTCTAATGGGGACTGGCAGAGAGATAAACTGGATGAATGGCTTGGTGGATGGACTGGTAGTTGGATGGAGGGAAAGATAAAACAAGTAAAATAAATATAGAATAAATTATAAGAGTAAAGTAGGGAAGGGAGATTAGGAGTACAGGAGTTTGGGAGGAGAGTACAATATTAAACAGGGTTATCAGGGAAAAGGTCAGTGCTTACCTCATGGAAGATTAGATGTCATAATGAACATAAAACACTTTGAAAAATGCCTGATACACATAAACACTTTATAAATGTTAGCCATTATTTTTAATAATACTATTACTGGAACTACTATACTACTAGAACTACTAAACCATGACTACCCACAAAGGTTATAATTCCCTTTTTAAGAGGAAATAACCAAGGGAGAGGTTAGGTAACCTGCTTCACGTCACATAAACCATAAACAGCAGGACTAAGATTTGACCCCAGGTGTGTAAGTCCGTCTTTCTCCAAATCCCATTCTTTTTCCGTAATATAAAACCTCAAATAGGGCACTTTTGACTCAAAAAGCAATACCCTTCCCAATAGCTGTCAATACAATACTTACATACATATTTGGCATATCAGGAAGGAACTGGAGCCTGAGTCAAAGTCGACTTAGGGATAAATGCATTTGTCCTCATTGAGTTCTTTTCTTTTTTTAAAATTATATTTATCATAGATCTCTAGACAATTTATGCACTTTTATGAACTTATGTTTCTGTTAGCCTTTGCTCTGTGCTATCTTAACAGTATGCTTTATTTTATTTTATTATGTGCTTTTTTAAAAAAGTCTCCCATTATTTGAATCAAAGGATCATACCCTTTATGCAAAATGACAACTGCAACATGGAACTTGTTATGCAAGGAACAAGATTCCCTCTCAGGGCTGCGTGAGATAACTTTTTTCTTTAACAGGCTATAACTGTCAAACTTCAAAAGTACAAATCAGCTCCATAAAAAATGAACATCGTTACATCCATTTTAAAAAATGGGAGGAAGGAGGCATCATTTAAAAAAACAAAACAAAACAAAACAAAGCAAAACCACTGAGGCTGCTTATTGGCTAAATGAAATATTTTACCTGATGCAAGTGAACGTGGAATAGAAAGCATAGAAAAGATTGTTATTTATATAGAACTTTACATCCCCAAATCTGAGCATAGGAGGAGGTATTTGAAAAGAATACAGTCCTATTAATTTTACACATGGCCACCAAAGGAACACGAAGGGTCGTAACACATGCTGTTAGTGACCTTACCAAGCTTTCTGAGGAAAGATACAACTTGATTATTTCATCCTTTCGGGGGAACCCTTTGCTAGAACAAGCAAAGTGTTTCTCCATATTGCCTAAATAATGCAAAAAACATATTTTAAGTAACCGATAGAAGGATTTTTGTTAAAAGTACCATATTTTTAAAACCAATGAATTTTTTAAAATAAGAATTATAATTGTATATTTTAAATTCGCTTTACTTTAGATAAAATTCGAATCTTCCACTTTATTTTCCTTTTTAAAGATATGATACCAGGACACTAAATATAAGGTTTGGCTGAAACTCTAGGATAATATACCACATGGTAGGCCATGATGAAAATTTTTCAAAGGCAGACAAAAATCAGTTCTTGACTCTTCAACTTCTCACTCTCAGTGAGGGTATGGAAGGGTCAGGAATTGGAGATTGAAGAGAGAATTTACGTTTTGATAGAGAGCTACTGATATGAAGACATTGGGAGGAGGATCTCTTCTTACCTTGAGTCTCAGACCCAAGGCTTTTATAGGCACAATCAAAAATGTAACTAATACATATCCCTGCAGTTTTGGGCACAAACTCAGACTCTTGCTTCGAAAATCAAAGGGACAAGAGATGATTTGGTGGAGAGGATAGGAGATGGTTTGATGAGAAAGAGATGGCTATGTTCAGAGTCCCGCATGACCAAAATTTGCTGGGGCAAAAGATGCATGAACGCTTCCTTTGGTCCAGCTGTAGTCCACTTGTGAAAAAGAACTAGCTTAGGATCATCTAGGATCCAGTCCTCAATAATCTCTCTGAATGGCAAGTAGATCTCAAGAAAGAATTCAAAAGCATAGCTGGAGTTTTAGAAGCTGACAGAGGAATAAATGACAAGTGGAAATAGAGAAGCTTTTGCCTCTGTTAGAACTGCAGATAAAATACTCCTGGTGGATGAGAGGAGGCTATGAAGGACCTGTTCAAGTGCCCAGAGACCCAGGGTCAGCTTTACACATCCAGATCCAGAAAGTGCAGATGTCAGATGGTCACCGTAGAATCAGTTAGGTAAGAACCATGCCACTCCCCCTGCTTTTCCCTCCCTGCCTACAACCCTGATGCAAGAAGGGTCAAAACCTAAAGTTAGCAAGACAGTGAAAAGGAACTTAAACACTGGGTGGAGAAAAGGAAAAGCTGATCTGAACCTGCCTTCCTTAACTACAGGCTTCCCACCAGCACAAGCCTAAATAGGAAGAAGGGAAAATGCTTCAATTATAAAACAAGAGTTAAGTTTAGACTGTTACATGGGGTTGGATATTTTAATTTCAACAATTACAATGCAAAGCTGTGTTTTGAATTTGAAATGCTTGGAGAACTCTTTGAATCACCTAATTGAAACCAAAACCGTCTTAGGACTGGCCCAAATATTCAGCCAGGGACAGAGGAAGAACTACCTCAATGATTGGATTTAAATGAGACATATGTATTAGTTTGCTTTTGTGTTGCTATAACAGAATACCTCAGACTGAGTAACTTATAAAGAAAAGAGGCTTATCTGGTTCAAAGTTCTGGGCTTCAGGCTGTTACTACTCATGGCAGAAAACAGCAGGACAGCCAGCGGATGTAAGCAGATCACAAGGGGGGAGGAAGCAAGAGAGAAAGAGACGGAGGGAAGGCAGGTGGAAGGTCTTTTAAGCAACCAGCTCTTACGGGAACTAATAGAGTGAGAACTCACTCACTATCCTGCCCCCAGGAAGGGCATTAATCTATGCATGAAGGATCCACCACCCCATGACCCAAACATCCCCCAACACTGCCACACTGGGGAATCAGATTTCAACATGAGCTTTGGGGGGACAGCACATCCAAACTCTATCAATGTAAAAATAAATTTACTTTATAATTGCATATTATTAATCCTGTTCGTACAACATCATGGCTTCAATGCTTTTCTTAAAATTCTATAAATTAACATATCTGTACAAGTATTACAAATATGGCTTAAAATATGTATTGAGGTTATAATATTAAACAGTTTTCAAAGTTACTTTCAACTCATATAGTCATTGTACCCATACCAGACAATGCTACCAGACCTACTTTTTAAAGCTGTACTTTGATTCTAAAATCCAAATCACTCAAGTATTACAAATATGGCTTAAAATATGTATTGAGGTTATAATATTAAACAGTTTTCAAAGTACTTTCAACTCATATAGTCATTGTACCCATACCAGACAATGCTACCAGACCTACTTTTTAAAGCTGTACTTTGATTCTAAAATCCAAATCACTCTCTGCTTAAAAATCACTGATACTCTATTACTTAATGAATAAATTTCTTAAATGGAGAAAAGCTAAACAGAAGGAAACTATACATTTGAATAACATACTTTGAGCCTGACACTGAGTTTACATGTTATTTTATAAAATTCCCATAATACTTTGCACCATATATATTACTGTCCTCTATTTAAAGAAGAGAGAACAAACACATAGGAAGATTGAGCTCGAAGAGTGCATAACTACCAATAATAAGTCAGATTGGAACCAAAGTTTTTCTGTCTCTAAAGGCCATCCTCTCTTTATTCTGCTAGACAATCTTTCAACAGCCAAGCCCCTTTTTTGGACTGCTCTGCACACAACCTACACTCCAGCACCTCTGGAGTGCTCACAGGGTCCTCAACGCTTCCATTATCTGCCTAAAATTTTAACACGTTTTAAGATCTGGTTCAAATACAAGCTTTTTCTAACACTGTCTCAGCAAAACTAGTCAATTGTCCTCTGCACTTTGGTTTCATTTAGTGAATTATATAGTCATATCAACAGGCTCCTTTGAGCTTGAAAGGTAAAAAAGGAAGCAGGAAAAACCTCAAGAGATGTGGTGGGAAACAGAGAAACAATTCCCAATTTCTGTACTTTGGCCTACACGGATCTCTTTGCTTAGAAATTCTCAGATTATAGGGTTTGCTAGATTCTGTTTTAATAATAAAATGCAAAAAAAAATCACTTTTTTGTGAGTATCTAAAGGAAAGACATGCCAGAGAAGTTACATTTTTAACAGTATGTGACTTTAACAAGAATCATGACTTAGGGCTGGTTGATTAGCTCAGTTGGTTAAACACAGTATTGATAACACCAAGGTGTAGGGTTCAGATTCCTGTACCAGCCAGCTGCAAAAAAAAAAAAAAAAAAAAAAAAAGAATCATGATTTAAAGAGAAATCATACAAGTGTAATCACTGATGGAATGTCTGCTCTGACTAGAATAAGAAAACTGCTATGGGACAAATGTGCAGAAATAGCACCATGTATGAAATTTATTCATTGTTCTACTCATAGTTACACAACTACAGCAGTGAAGTTGAAGTCAGAAGCAGCAAAAGCATCACCCATCTCTCTCTCCACCAATTCATTTCACATAATACTGCTGCAGGAGATCAGAATATACCTCCCCAAAATATGCTACTTATACAAACAAACCTTACTAAAATAATACCTATCTCTCATTAATTTTCTCCATAAACTTCCTGGTCATTTTCCCACATTTATCATTCCTTGCTCAAACCCCCTTTTCCTTTGTCCTGTCCCATTTCCACAATTTTTTTTTCCTTTTTGTCTTTTTTCATGTCCAGCAACGGGTCGCAACCCTCAGTGTCGCGCCCGTACCGGACCAGGACTGGCAATGGGATCGCAACCCTCAGTGCTGCGCCCACACCTCGCTCAGCCAGTGAGCGGGAACAGGTCTGTATGTGGGATCTGAACCCTCGGCGGGAGCGCCACCGCGCTCCCAAGCGGCGCACTGTAGCAGTGTGCCACTGGGCCGGCCCCCATTTCCACAATTTATTGCTCTTTGTTAAAATGATCTATAAGCCCCAGCATGTAACCACTATTTTGGGGTTTTCACTTCTTTCTATGAAGCCTGCTGTACCATGTGAAAATATTAACATCATATAAAATTTGTATGCGTTTTCTTCTGTTAATTTGTCTTTTGTCAGTTCGATTCATAGGCCCTAGCCATAGAACCTAAGAGGGTATGGGAATAGTCTCTCTGCCCCTGCACTGCCATATTAATCTTCTTAAACTATAGCTATGATATGTTACTCCCCCACCCAGGAATCTTAAATGGCTTCCCACTGAATATAGACCAAAGCCCAAATTCCTTAGCCTGACATTCGAATATCTCTATGATATGCACTAGCCTTCTATCCTTCCTACCTTTCCAAAATATTTTACTTCTT